AGCGGGGCTGCTTGGAGAGGGGCGGGCGGCGCTCGCCTCTGGGCGCTCCCGAGCGCTGCTGGGCCGGGGGGAGGGAGGGTGAGTGGTGCCCGGCGACGGGGCAGTGGGCACAAGCTGAGGCGTCAGGGGTTTCAGTTGAAGAGGAAGAAAAGCTTCCTTACTCTGAGGGTGGCGGGGCACTGGGACAGGCTGCCCAGGGGGGCTGTGGAGGCCCCATCCCTGGAAGCATGCAAGGCCAGGTTGGACGGGGCTCTGAGCAACCTGATCTGGTTAAAGGTGTCCCTGCTCCTGCGGGGGGGTTGGGCTAGATGACCTCTAGGGGTCCCTTCCAACCCAAAACATCCTATGATTCTGTGCTCTAGGAGAACCTGCTTAAGCAGGGGGGTTGGACTGGCTGATCTCCCGATGTCCCTTCCAACCCTTGCCATTCTGTGATTCTGTGAGTGCTGCTCTGCCTGAGGGTGGGAAGGCTCTAGAGAGGGACCTGGACAAGCTGGGTCAATGGGCCGAGGCCAGCTGCATGAGGTTCAACAAGGCCAAGTGCCGGGTCCTGCCTTGGGGTCACAACAATCCCACACAATGCTACAGGCTGGGGGGAGAGTGGCTGGAGAGCTGTCTGGCAGAAAAGGACCTGGGGGTGCTGGTCGACAGCCAGCTGAATATGAGCCGTGCTGGTGAGGCCGCACCTCGAATACTGTGTTCAGTGTTGGGCCCCTCACTCCAAGAAGGACATTGAGGTGCTGGAGCATGTCCAGAGAAGGGCAAGGAAGCTGGTGAGGGGTCTGGAGCACAAGGCTGATGGGGAACAGCTGAGGGAACTGGGGGTGTTCAGCCTGGAGAAGAGGAGGCTGAGGGGAGACCTTATCACCCTCTGCAACTGCCTGACAGGAGGGGGTAGTGAGGTGGGGGTCGGTCTCTTTTCCTAGGTGACGGATGATAGGATGAGGGGAAATGGCCTCAAGTTGCTCCAAGGAAGGTTTAGATTGGCCATTAGGAAAAATGTCTTCACCGAAGGGGTTGTCAGGCCCTGGAATGGGCTGTCCAGGGAAGTGGTTGAGTCCCCATCCCTGGAGGTATTTAAAAGACAGGTAGATGAGGTGCTTAGGGACATGGTTTAGTGGTGGACTTGGCAGTGCTAGGTTAATGGTTGGACTTGATGATCTTAAGGCTCTTTTCCAACCTAATTGGTTCTGTGATTCTATGAAATCTGCCTGTGCAGACCCGTGCCAGCATGCTGCAGGGCTTGCTGGTGCCTTGCAGGTGCTGCCGCTGCTGTTTCTCTCACTGACAGGTTTTCCCCCAGCCGAGCGCAGCTGCGGGCAGGGAGTTCCCATGGGGGTTCAGGGGGCATTTTCTTCTATCATATGCCTCATTTAGCTGCAGGCTGGGTAGCACTATATTTTTGCAGTTTTCTAGATGTTGCAATGCTTGTTCCCATTGGCAAAGTTTTCCAGGTCTTGAATATTCCAGTTAAGTTGCAACTATTTAAAGTGACAAGTAGTCTGCTCTGTTGTATCTATACACCATATCCTAGCACCAAAGCCTTTATTCCAAAACATACGGCGCAGCATGTTGGCAGAGAGGGGCCAGGGGCCTCAGTTGTACCCTGACTGCAAACTGCAATTGTGGGTTTGTTTGCTTGATCATTTTAAATATGGAATAGGTTTCTCTTACTAATCTAAGCTTTGTTTTCCTGTCTGCTCTGACAATTTTCCTCACATTTTGTTGGTGAAAAGCTGTAGCGCGTGGGCAGAACAGAGGACTACAAGTACATCCTACTTGCAGGGAACTTGAAATCCTGCTTATTTATAAGTTTTCACAAAACCAGTCAACAGTTCCTTTGTATGTGTCAGGGAATGTCTGCTTCTTCACCTGTGCTGTACCTGACTTTTGCAGGGGAGGTGATGGTTCCTCTTACCTGGGAGGTGTGGTAAGGGGCAAGGATGCTTTTGGGGTGTTCTCTTGGTTTGATTAGAATCAGGCTTGCAACCTGCAATCTGAATTTCATGCCCTGATCTACATAGGGAGTGGTGGGAAGGAGAAGGTGTTTAATTCATAGGCATCTTGGTGTGGCTTGAACATCTCCCGTTTCAACTTTGTAGAAGGTGAACTTATGATGGAATGAGCAAAATGGGAAGGTTACACTTTCAGAGAGAACAGACATGAAGAAAACAGAAAACCCTTGTAAGATGATCCTGGATAGCTGTGGAATAATTTGTGAGTCAAGGTCCCTGTTGTTAGGGGGGTGAGAGATGGTCTGGGAACAGTTTTAGTGACAAATCTATACACTGAGATTACATTCTTCTGCAGACTGTGTTACTGGTTTGGGAGCACTCCTCTTCCAGTCGTCTCCCTGCATAAATCCTGTATCTTGAAAGCATCTTCCCTGCTCACTGCAGGGGGGTTGGACTAGATGACCTCTAAAAGTCCCTTCCAACCCAAAGCATTCTATGATTCTATGATGTCTGTCTAATGCTTTCCAATCGCTTGGGTAGTGATTTGAGATGTGGGTTCCTCCATTAACTCTTCAAATAGCTGTGAAGCATATTTTGGTAACATACTGCAGATTCCTTCTGCAATGTGTGGTCCGCATTGGCCAGGGTACCGATCCTGTGGTAGTGTTGTAACTCTGAGCGTGACACCTAATTGTTCTGGCGCGTCAGTTGTTGCACATTGCTGCCATAGTATCAGCGGTACTAATTCTGTGCTGTGGTCTGAACCACCCTCTGCCACCATGCTGTTACACCTCTGTCCTCATCCCCTCTTGAGGTTGTGGTTTCACCTGCTTATTCTCCTCAAACAAACAGCAGTGTGCCCTCCAGTTGCCAGCAAAGCAGCTGTGTACCTGAGATCTGTGGATTTTAGGAGGCAGACGGATGTTGAGAGAAGGGAGGGAAGAGTCCCCGTGACATCCCGTTGTAAAGATGATGCCACATCTTACTCCCTTCAGTCTCTTCCATGTTCTCTTTCTTCAAGGAAAATCATACAGGCTGGGAGTGGATGCTGTGGGAAAGAGGGGTCCTATTCACAGGCCTTGAAATCCTTGCTTTCCTTGTCCAAGGACTTACTAGGATTGCTGAACATGGTGGGAGATGTGTGTATATTGGTGTATCTTTTTGTATTCATCGAGGATTTGAATGCTGCTGCCACACACTTGAAAGAAGTGGAGTTAGCGTAAGAGGTCGAATCACACGGTGGGCATTAAGACCACATGCAGAACCGATAGGCAAACTCTCGGCCCTTATGAAACACACACCAAGTGCTGCTGTCTGGGCATTTGTAATTACATTAAGATCCTGTAGTGGGACATAAATACCATGATTAATGTATTAAATAAGGGCAGTGATACTTTGCCACCTCTCAAGATTGTTGAATTACTTACATTATAGTTGCTTATGGCATGAATCATCTGCTGCTGTTCCATGCTGCTGAGTCTTCTTCTTGCCTAAAGTTCCTGTTTTGATTCTTGCTTATCACTTTGGTTTTCAACATCAGTTAAAATTATTTATATAAAATCACACGATATAAAAGTAATTTTATACTATGGCAAAATATTACACTATCACAAAGGAAACATTTCTTATACCTACTTATATAAAAAAATTGTATTTAGTAGTCTTGAAATACTTAATACTTCCACAAAAGAAAATATTTGAAAAGTCAAAATAGATTTCTTGCATGAATTCTGTTGCTTAAACATACCTCTTGAGCACTGCAAACAGTTCATTAATGTTGCACACTGGATAAGTGAATTTCAGAAGCTGAGAATTTTCATGTGGAATTACTATCTCTAAATGGAGCCTCTTGGCATGAAGGCCTGTAGTGCTGCTTGAGGGTTTAGTGTCAGCCTTACTGAGAGGCAACAATATTTAAGTCTGCTTTCATAAAAAGGGAGAAGTAACAGGGTCAGGGTTCAGCTTGACACTTGTTTACGTTGAACTTCCTCCTATTTAACATTTTAACTATC